TAGAAATTCTTAACATTTAGAAATTGAAATTGTCAAAAACACTATTAATTAAAAAAAATTTTTTAATTAATTATGTAAAATTTACAAAAAAATTTTTCAAAAAATATTTTAAATCTGGGATTAAATAAAAAAATTTAACTTTATCAATGACATATAAATTTTATTTAATAAATAATATAACAAAATTAGTCAAATTTAAAAATAGAAATTCAAACATTTATAAATTGAATTTATCAAAAAAAACATAAATAATTTTTTAATAAAATTTAATTAATTAATAAAATTTAAAAAACAAATATTTTTTTCAAAAAAAATATATTGCAAGAGAGATTAATAACATTTTTTCTTATTTTATCTAAAAAATATATGAATTTTATTTATTAAAAAATTTAACAAGGTTAATTAAATTTAGAAAATAGAAAACTTGAAGTTGTCAAAAAAATTTTTATTTTTTTTTTACATTTGAAAACTGATTTTTTCGAAAAATATATGAATTTTTTTAAATCATGAAAATATTCAAAAATTAATTCTTTTGACAAAGCTCAGTTAATTTGATTAATACAAATAAAATGTATAAAAAAATTTTTATTACTAACTAAATTATTGAATTTAGAATAAAACATTTTTAATTAAGTGAAAATTATTTAACTTAAAAAATTACTTAAAAGAAAATCCAAATTATTTTTTTTTAATTCTCCACATCAAATCTATTCATTTAATTACTTAAAAGAAAATATAAATTACTTAAAAGAATTTAGTAAAAATTTAACATTATTATATGTATTACTATTATTCGAAAATTTTAAATAATTTTAAAAAATTTTATATCTATATATTGAATAATTTTTCTAAAATATCTACCCCTCGTTGATCCGTAGCACGCTCACGATTTGCACGTGCAGTTGTCGAGACACGAGGAGTTGGTGCGGCAATAACGTTGTTTGATGAGCTGCTGCTGCTGCTTGGCCCCTGCATCTCTCTTTGCATGGCCATATTTCCTAATAAAAATTAAACGAAATATTTTTTTCCTATTATTATTATTACCAATAGGAAGTACATTGTTTGCCGTGCCGCCATTTGTTCCCTGCATCTCTCTGTGATTGGCCACATTTCCAACTAAAAATTAACCGAATATATTTTTTTTAGATTATTATTATTATTCTTATTACCAATAGGAATGTTGTTGTTGTTATCAGCGGGAGCTTGCTGCAAATTATTATTGTTGTTATTTACGTTGTTGTTGTTGTTTGGCCCAGTAATAGCAAATGCTGACGCACGTGTAAATCGCAAAACAAAAGGTACGGTGCCCGTCCACCGTCCTCTATTGTCCCCTTGTTCCACCACCGTAAGTGCGGTAAATGTGCAGATCTTTATAAAAAAATCATCTCAAATAAAAAATTTTTAAATTACCTCATTAACCCGGGCAGTCTCAAGAATAGCAGCGCATTGATCATAAGCATATATGCCAACAGTCTGAGTATCAGTGCCAAAGCCAAAACTAACACGAACGTCACACCGATCAAAGCTGCGTCTAAGAGTTGCACCACGATGTACAAATTGAACAACCCCAGTCAGAGAACTAAAATTTTTAAATTAAATTTTTAATTTTCTACACAAAAAATTACTTAAACACGTGATTTGTGCGCCACCCTGCAAAGGCATAATTGGAAGATGTCAGGCGATTGCGGATATCTATGAGTGGTAGAAGCATAGCCGCAGGCGGCATTTCAATAATATTAGCACGTGCCCTTTCAGCGGCTATTATTGCTTCCACCTTTATAGAAATAAAAAATTTTTTATTACACATAAAAAGAATTTTTATTAAAAATTAAATTTTTAATAACAAAATTAATTTAATTATTTGTAAAAATTACATCAATATTGTTGTTTGGTAAGTTATTGTTGTTGTTTAGTAAGTTGTTATTGTTGTTTGGTAAGTTGTTTGGAAAGTTGTTGTTGTTAATGTTATTATTTGCAGCTGGTAGAATATTAAGCCCATTGTCGATCCGAGCTCTATTAGTAGGTGGCGCATCAGAAGAATTACTAGCTGGTCGTCGTCGATTGGAACTCATTATTAACTAAAAAATTAAAGTGAATATTAAAAAATTATTTTCATAAATTAAATTGAAAACGGTGGGAGATAATAAACTTTAATTTTATAAAATATTTACAAAAAAAAAATAAATAAAATTTATAAAATGAAGTAATGAATTAATGAAATAAGAAGGGGTTCATTTTTGCTCCTTGCACAACCCGCCCATCTACTCGGAAATTTTGTAAAGTTTGACCCGACTGAGAAAAAAAGTTTTTAGGTCTTTTTATATTATAAACTTAATTGTTTTTAAATTTCCATCAATTTTTTATAGTCGGAAGTAACTTGTACTTCACACAATCTTTTTTACAAAAGGTTGACCGGAAAGAGAAAAAAGGAGCAAAAACCAACCCAAAAAGTCAACTTTTTTGAAAGATCAAAACTATTTAATTTTTAAAAAATTTTTAAAAATTACTTCAACTGTATATTTATCGATGCATGGCCAGCAATATCCATTTTCCTCACAATATAATTTGGTCTGCAACGGCACATACCCTCAGCACTATCGCAGTGATTGTCATAAGCGCCACCAGGATCGCAATCACTAGAAAAATATTTAAAAAATTAGTCGAATTTATAAAATATATTTAAATCAAAAATTTTAATTAAATTCATAATTAAATTTTAAAAAAATCCAACATTATGGATATGTTTCATAAAAATTTTACAAAAAAAAAATAAAGCCAAATATAAAATTTTTTACCAAGTCTTGCATCCATTAGGATCGTCAACACTTGGTCCATAATGTTCTTGAAGACAATGATCACATTGTTCTTCCATTACAAGAGCTTTACATGTACATTTTCCTGTCACTTTGTCCCAACCTTCATTCCCATAAGTCCCAATTAGATTCCAAGAACATGGCCGACAACCATCAGGATCTTCTTTTCTCATTTCTCAAAATCCATTTTTACATCGATCACAACTTTAGATAATTAAGAAAATTTGTTGTTTTCTCAATATTTTTAAAATTACTTTGGCCCATCAACATTGCTTTTGCAATAACATTTTCCTGCAAACAATCCACGTTCTGGGTCTTCTTCACCCTCACAAATTCATTCGAATTTAGAACCACTGTGACCGCAGTGGCAGGGTCTGCAGACGTATGGATCTCGAATGAATCTAAAAATATTGCAGTTAAAGAAAACCTATCAAGAATTATTCAAATTCCGAATTTTTTATTTTCGAAACCCAAAAAAAAAAGATCAATTACTTAAACAAAGTCAATGAAATTTTTAAATATCGGGACTTTGTAAAATTCAGTAAAATTAAAATATTCTCTGAAGTAAATAAATAATCCTCGTTTATAGAATATATTGAAAGGGGATTAGAAAATAAATATTATTATTAACTTTAATCTTTATTTTATCTAGATGTCCACTACTATATTACCATTATTAAAGTATTGATCGATTAGAACAAGAGGGCTCTGAAGAGACCGATTATTGGGTTAGAGAAGTTAGAGAAAAAATTTCTTCTCTTCCCATATAACCGGTCTCTTCAGGCTCTCTTGTTCTAATCGATCAATACTTTGTTAACCCAATCCTATAGGAGGTTGTGGGGGTTGAATGGAGTAGTGAGGGGGATAAGTAAAGCGAGGGCGATTCTGAAGTGATTCTGGGGGTGATTCTGAAGTGATTCTGGGGGTGATTCTGAAGCGATTCTGAGGGCAATTCTGAAGCGATTATGAAGTGATTCTGAAGCGATTCCGCGATTCCGAGGGTGATTCTGAAGGGATTCTGAGGGTGATTCTGAAGGGATTCTGAGGGTGATTCTGAGGGCGATTCTGAAGTTGATTCTGCTGCTCTCAAATGGCCACACTAACAGGCTCGCACTCTAATAGTCGCTATGAATGTCATGCGTTAAACTGGGCACATCTGGACTCAAGCGTCTAGCACTAAACTGGTCGCACCCAAGCGTATTAATCCCAATAATGGCCGATGTTGGACACGCCAAAGTAGGCGCACGGCCATAACGGCGCAAAGCCATAACTTGCTGAAAAATTTCGGGCCCTTATAGATCTTGATACCAAACGCTTTAGCTTGATGAGAGGAATCGTTTAATACTAAATTAGGCATGATGCGGGAATCTTCACGCAAGTTATAGCTTTGCGCCGGTAGGTCGTGCGCCCACTTGGGCTGTATCCGCTTTATTGATTATGCGGTATTATTTTCCTTTTTTCTCACTTTCTTTGCAAAGTGAATCACACTTTTAACTACCTATATTTTATACAAGCAAAAATTGTTAAATGCTGAAAAATTTATATTTTATTTTTTTCAGGGTTTAAACCTGAGTTCGTACAGAACTCTGTATTGGTCGATTTGGAGGGAATTGATGGGTATCTTAGAGATGAGAATCAATGAAAGTATTGTGAAGAAAAGGTTTTACTGTCCAAACATTAGTACTAACTTAATTCTAAATATTTTTTAGAGATCAATAAATGCGACGAAATTATTCTTTGAGTAACCCAACTAAAATCCTTTGTATTGGTCAAAGTGGATGTAGAAAAAAATGAAAAGAAGACAAAATAATTGATCAATCAAATAGTTTTGAATTTTTGGAGGTTTTCTTTGTTTTATTTTTATAAAATTTTGAAAAAATTTCTTTAAAGAACAGCAACATTGGGACCTTCCAAAGGTTGTGGTGGTTCTCTTAAAGCTTTGGAAAATGAATGGAAGAAATGAAACGTTCCAATAGATCCTCAAACTGAGAATTATTACCCAAATCTTTGTTGTGAACGGAATATTGAGGTAAAAAGCATTTAAGAATAAAATTAGTCAACTTTCAACAATTTTTTTATAACGAACGTGTAAATCTTATAGAAATTCGTTTAAGTGTATTAAAATTAGAACAAAAAAACCTCCACAACAAGAACAAATAAAAATCCTGTTAATTCAACTTTAGCTAATTATGTTGGACTCTTTTATGGAAGTTACCCCTTGTTTTGATTATATAGCTATTTATGATGGACTTAAAGTAAAAATAAGAATTGTTTTCTAATTCACTACAAAAAATTATTTCTAAAGGCAACTTCCTCTCTATTACTTCCACCAAGCTGTAGTTTACCCTTAACTGACAATAATGAATTAAATCCAAATTTTATTTCATCCCATCGCCAAATTGACGTATTTTTCTCTTCTGATTCTAGTACAGAATTAGCTGGAACTGGATTTCAAGTAGATTATTTTAAATTTAATTATTAAAAAAAATTTTTTTGAAGGCTGAATTTAGAGCAATTAAATCTGACTGTGGAGGAGCTTTTTTGGCTGGCCAAGAATGGTCTGATGTTAGTTTTGTTAGTGAGCGGACACTAAAACGGACAAATCAGCGACATAAACGGCAATTATAATTAATTGAAATTTTTTTGAAAATTTATTTTTTTTTAAGTTGTCGCTGGTTTCTTTACACAGAAAAACAATAACCTTTGGAAGTTATTTTTGTCTAATTTTCATTTCCATCAACCTGCGGTAATTGTTTGAACGAATTTCTGGAACTTCGTGATGTTGGGGCTTAAGTGAATGTCAACATCCTGCTTGTGCTACAGAACCATTACAAGAACAAAAAAGGAAAGAAGTAATTGGTTAGTAATTAATTAAAAGAATAGTGGATGTTTAAAGCAGATGTTTAAAAGTAAAAGAATCCGTCCTTTCCCAAGTCTTATATTATTTCTTTAAATAAGTGATTTTCTTTAGATGGATTAAGGTAGTTCCCTCGAAGCTTATTTAATTCCAAAATCATTTTATAAATAAAAACATTATTTATTCCTGTCATTTCCCTTTAATTTATTCAGGCACCTCAACAGTACATTTCAAGTACTTCAGTTATACAATTAACTGCTTCTGTTCTTCTTCAAAGCCAATTCTCTGTCAGTTTTCGTTTTCGAACTTTTTCTGCTTGCAATCGAAGTATTAAAATTGATGGAAATGGTTAAAGAATTACACAATTTGTTAAAAAGTAATTTTCTTCTTTTAGTTCCCGATGGTGTTTTATTAGCTTCTGGACGTATTACTTCTCCCAAATACTCATATTACCCTTATTTGGAAGGTAGAACAATTAAAATTTTCGAATTTAATTTTTTGTAAATTTTCTTACAAGTTTTAAAATTTTTTAAACATTCACATCGGCAAAAAATAATTAAAACTTAACGTTTTTGCCAAAGTAAAAAAAAAACAGTAAGACTCTCAAGTTAAAAAAAATTTTTTAAATTAATTTTCTAAATTTTTCTTTTTGTTGAACAATAAAAGATCGTTTATTTGATAACTATAAATAAATTCCTAAAACCGAGCAAAATATCTTCACTTAGTTAATTTAAATTCCTTTATAGCATTGTTGTCACTACCACTCGTCATTTCATTAAGCATAGGTTAAGCTATACAAAAGAATTTAAGGGTGTTTATCAATGTAAGCGATCTTTTGTTCGTATAAAAAAATAGGCGTATTTGCTGCAGTCCCCAACTCATTATTCACTAGTTTCATTTTAAAAATTAATTTAGCTAAAAAATTTAATTAAATAAAACAACTTTTAGTTAAGTTTTATATTAATTTAGTGTTAAATTACCTATATTCAATTTTTAAATTTAGTAAAAAATGTCTTCAAATTCTTCTACTGCTTCCCGAAAAAGGAAGAAATCACCAATAACTCAAGTCCGTCCAATTACTAATCAGTTGCATCAAAATATTCCGCAGCAACAACAACAACAACAAATACAAAGTCCCAATTTTCGGGGCTATACAATACCAAAAGTAACTAATGCTAATGTTCCTCAACAACAACAACAACAATTAAGTCCACAAGAAACGGAGGCATTACAAGCAAAACAGGCGTTAGCAGATGAGGTAGATTTTAAAATAAAATTTTATTTAAAAATTAATTTATTAATAAATTAATCAGATAGCCGAAAAACGACGATTGCGTGAAACTACCAGACCAGCAAATCTACATCTATTAACACTAATTGATCCAATTACAAATTTGACGAGTACTGACGTATTAATGCTAGCATGGAAAAAGAATGATATATTTGAGTGAGTTTTTTGGGGGAAGGGGGGGGGGGGGTAAATCTTAAAAAAAATAAATTTAAGAGAGTTAAAAGGCGTAGTGGTATTTGTGAAGCGTGCGTTAACAACAAAAAATAAATACGACAGGGGAGATCTTGTAGTGGAGGTCGGACAGACTCACGAGAAAGAGCGCATTTCAATTTTCGGCTGGAACGAGCAGGCATCGAAATTGGAGACAGCAAATATTAATGATGTAATTTAATTAAATTTCTTATAAATTTTAAATGTTTGTTAATTATAGATAGTGGTGTTAAAAAACTTGATCGTTGTACCTGAGGACAATGAAAGAGTAAACTGGGCAGGATCGATAGATTTCAAATTAAAATTTGCAAAAAACTCAACTTTAACAATTGTAGAACAAGGGCAAATTGCGGCGTCTCAGCAGACTACAAATATGATAGGTAGTTAAAAATTTTGTGTTTTTCGAAAAATAATCTGAGTGAATAAGCGAAAATTTTATTTAAATTTTTATTTTAAAAAATTGTATTTAAATTTTTTTAAAAAAATATTATTTAGAGGAAGGTCCTTCAACATCTGCAGCAAATCAAAATCCTCATGTTGGTAATGTGCAGAACTCTTCTTATGCCAGCAATACAACTGCTGCTATTGACAGAGATGTCGAATATGTGAGTATTTATAAATCCTATGGTTTAACGTTTTACATGTACCGTTTGAATTAGAACTTTATTTAAAAAAATACAACATTAAAATTGAATTGTTATTAATTTAAAATTTAATTAAAAAAACTTTTATTACAATTTTCAAGGATTTTGAAGATTTATGATTTGCTTATTTACTAAAAAGAAGAAAAGAACAAGTTAAAATTGAATTTATTTAGAAATTAAAATTAAATTGAATGAAACTTATTAAAATTTTTTCATTAATTTTTAATTTTCGATTAATTTGCTTTTATGTTTCCAAAAATAAAAATTGTACGTTTGTTTATTATTTGAATGAAATAGAAATTTGAAAAAAATTTTTAAAAATTAAAAAAATTGTTTTGAGAAAATTTTTTTTGAAATAATTTATTAAGTAATATGAAATACAGATTCGAAAAAAATTTATAAATTGTTTGAAATTTTTTTTTTAATTTTTGTAAAAATTTGATTTTGTTTAGTAATTAAAATGAAAGATAGATGTGAAAAAAATCTTTAAAAAATTTGAAACCTGCTTGAAAAAAGTTTTTTGAATTTGCTTATTAACTAAATGAAATAGAGATTTTAAAAAAAATTAAAAAAATTTTTCAAATGATTTGAAAAAAATTTGTTATACTGAAAAAAAATTTTTTAAATAAAAGTTTTTAAAAATTTGTTTGAATTTGTTTATTAACTAAATGAAATAGAGATTGGAAAAAAAAATTTAAAAAATTGTGTTAATGATTTGAAAAAAAATTTTTTTAAATGATTTGAAAAAAAATTTTTAATTGTGAAAAAATTTGAGATTGTTTATTATTTAAAATGAAATTGAAAAAAGGATTTGAAAAAATCTTAAAAAATGAAATTGTTTATTATTAAAAATGAATCAAAATTTGAAAAAAAGCTTTAAAATATTTAAAAATTTTTATAGTATTTTGATAAAATAAAACTTGGTTTTGAATTAAATATATCATGATAAAAATATTTATTTTCATTCTTGTCTAAAATAAAACATTCTTGTCTAAAATAAAATAAAATTTTATTTCTGAATGTGTAGTATTTAAAATGAAATTGAAAAAAGGATTTGAAAAAAATCTTAAAAAATGAAATTGTTTATTATTAAAAATGAATCAAAATTTGAAAAAAAAGCTTTAAAATATTTAAAAATTTTTATAGTATTTTGATAAAATAAAACTTGGTTTTGAATTAAATATATCATGATAAAAATATTTATTTTCATTCTTGTCTAAAATAAAATTTTTATATTTTATGAAATGGAATTTGATTATTCTTTTTAGTTTTTTAAAAAATAAAATTTTATTTCTGAATGTGTAGTATTTAAAATGAAATAGAAATTTGAAAAAGGAAAAAAAAATTTGAAATTGTTATCATTTAAGATGGAATTTTTTGTTTAAAATTGAATAAGCTTAATGATAACGAATTATTATAAATACAATGATATTATTGTTTTCACAATAATTTTTTAATGAAATTTTTTCAAATGATATATCACTAAATTAGAATAAAAATTCGAATTTAATCAAAAGAAATCAAACGGTACATGATATTCAAAATTTTAGGGGGATTTTAATTAATCATTAGTATTTACTTTTTTAATTATTCTGACAGGGATACGTGAAAAACAAACGTTAGATAGTCTTACCTACTCTCTAAAATAAATACTCACTAGCTTTTTTTTAAAAAAAAAGCTAGGGGGCCTTTTTTTGTAGGAAGAAGTGTCACCTTCTTCTGAATTGGCACAGGAGTCGCTTCATGCCGAATCAAATCCACAAGTAAATTTTATTCTTTTTTTTACTATTTTTTAACAAAAAATATAATAGAGATTATATGGTAATCCTGGACATACTCCCCCAGCTCCAGGAATTGTAAGTTATGTAGTACCACCAGAAGATCCTGATGCAATTTATTTCCGCGGAGAACGCCGCATTCATGATATTGATTTACCAAAAAAGGACTGAATGGTAAAGAACGAAATATATTATTAGCTTCCCGTGTGCAACTGGCAGCAACATATAAATCTAAAGAAGAGGATCCTCTTTGCGGAGTATGTGTACGTGATTTTATGCCGAAACAAAGCGTAATTTTTTTACCATGTTCCCATAAATTGCACAAAACGTGTTTTTGGGATTTATCCCGTTTTTATAGACATTGTCCTACTTGTAAATACGACATGGGTCGGGGCCTACAATTTCCATAGTAGGGTATTTTTTAAGTCAATTAAATTATAAAATGAGAGTAGAACATTAAAAATTAGGAAGGTCTCATTTTGCAATTTAATCGACTAAAAATCTTTTGTGCCCTACTCTGGAATTTGGAGGCTATACACGTCGGATTACTTGTCTAGCACGTGTCCAAAAAAATTTTTTTTTGAAAATTTGATATTTTTGGACACGTACTAAGTAGACAAATACCCCGACGTGTAACAGTGTCCCCACACGTCAAAGAAGTCAAGTTTTTTTCTGAGTGGATTCTTTGACGTGCGGGGAAATTTTTTTGTATTTTTTATATAATTAATAATAATAACCACACCACAATTTAAAAAATATTATGAGTATTTTTTATATTTTCCCCCTCACTTTAAAAGAATCTAAGCTTTTTGAGTGTATTCTTTTAACGTGAGGGGAAAAAGTATTTAATTTGTTTTTAATAACATTTAACCACACCACTTTTATTTTTCAAATATTTTTTTGGTAAAATTTGTACACCAATTTTTATTTTTCAATATTATTTTAACCACTTTGATTAACTACACCGCTTTTTTTTCATATATTTTTTTGTAAAAAATCGTAAACCATTTTTATTGTTCAATATTATTTTAACCACTTTGAAAAAATTTTTATTGATATTATGTGTAAATAAAATTAATGTATTTACATTGATAGCAAATATTTCTAAACCTTAATAATAAATTCAATATTTATATTTGCTATCAATATAAACGCAATTTTAAAATATAATATTTATATCTTTTCTACCGTTATTAAATTTCTTTTACAAATATTTGCAATTTTTTTCCTGCCTTTTAAATAATTTTATTTTATTGCCTTCTTTTTCAGCAATTTTTTAGCATTTATATTAATAGCGTTATTAATTTTAATATCAACAATTCGCTAATTGTTTTTTTAAGGATTTTTTTTTAAATTAGAGAATTGTTGTATTAAATTCTTTACATAATATGTAATGTTTTTTACTTAAATAAATTTTAATTATTTTATTCTTTTAAATTATTACTAGACAGTTAAAAAAGTTTAGGTACCAGATTATAGAGTTAAAGATTTATTGTCGTCTCCATATCTTCGTGTAAATAAAAAAATCTTCTTTAAATAAGCTTTTATATTGTCCTTACATACATTTATTCGTTCCCACCTATCTATAACTGCGCATGCTAAAATTTGTTTTAAAAAAATAGACTATTATTTTAAATTTAGATTGAAAACATGAGAAACTACTTTGTTATTGAAAGAATTGAGCCATTCGCCTCCCAATCACGCAACACGCGTGGGGAGATCGCCCACATCAGATTTAATAATTTGGCCGATCATCCCCGACCCGACCTTGCTCTAACTACACTTATTGAACAACTTTTGGATCGGGTGCTCACCGGAAGACCAGCGCCTCTCCGCGTTGGTCTTCAGGTGCAGCCACCAAACTTCCACCACCCATTTACGGTCCCACTTAGACCGGTAGAACAAAATAATGCTGCAGCATTAGCCGCAGCTATTGAGAGATTGAACGAAATATCCCAGGCCGGGATAGACCTTCTCTCAGGAACAACAACAACAAAAGTTGTAGCTGTATGGCCTTTAACTGGGCAGCGCACTAATAATCCAGCATCACATTCGGGTAGGTTCATACTAGTCTTACATTTCTCAAATAAATGTAAGGCAGTCATGTTCCTACAGGTAGCTGCGATATGGACCAAGAACATGCAGTGTCTTCTCGATGTCGTTCAATTGTGCGCGTCCATAATCCAAACGACCGCTACTGTCTTGCTCGTGCAGTAGTGATTGGACTTACAAAAATTCGACTTGTTGATCAAGGCGATGCTAATAATGGAGCAGCTCATTTTAGAGCTTTTTGCCAACAACAAGAACAACATTTGATTTTTTTAAACTACTTAATGAATACAGCCGGACTTCCATATGGATTACAGGCATTATTTACTTACATACTTTTATATTTACGTAATATAGGAATATTCGCTTGAACATGTAGCGATTCTCCAACGATGGTTAAATCAATATTATGGAGAAGGGCACACTCGTATTGTTGTTTTCCAAAAAGAGCAACAGTACCGGATTGTGTTTAAAGGAGAGGGAAGAGCAGCTCGTTACAATTTATGTCTGCTCTTGGAGAATCGTCACTACAACTACATTGGTCGCCCTGAACAACTTTTGGGAGTCAAACGTTATTGTATTGACTGTGAACGATCAGTGACACGTTGGAGTCATTGGGCTGGGTGCACTGTAGTTTGTAGATTTTGCATGCGGTCAGGTCCCGAATTCCCATGTCAAGTAATATCTAATTAAATTGTAAAATTTTTATTGTTATTTATTAGGAAGAAGAAAGAATCCCGTGTCAAAACTGTGGATTCATTTTTCCACGCCGTGCATGTTATGACTACCATTTAGTCAATTCTGCTCCTCTAGAAATGATTCGACGCGATACACGTAATTTTGCATCCATTTGCCAAATGCGTCGTATTTGCTGGAATTGTCATCACATAATTTATGCACAACAAGCACACGAATGCCAACGACAACGGCAACAACCTCAAATAAATTGTAAAATGTGTAATGGCCCTCACACAGAGGACCAGCCATGTTTTATTCAGCCATTAAAACATGATGACGATGAACAAGAAGATATTAATGAAAATAATAATGAACAACAACAGCAACAAAGAACAAGAAAGCATCGACAACCAATTCGTCTTTGTTTTTTTGATGCTGAAACAAGTCAGGATGATCCTGTACAAATAAGCCAAAATATCAATGGCTACAGGCATGTACCTCTTCTTATTA